AAACACTATCTTTATCACTCGGTCTCGGTCTTTGTTGTACCAACCTAGCCTGAAAACCTTCTCAATGCTATGCTCAGCCCCTTCCATGTCTAGTGCCTTTAGTACTTCATTCACTGCTGCTTTGTCCTTGTCATTCCACTCTGTCCTATTAGAACATTCCTGCTCTTTTATACCCACAGCAACCACTGATCTGTTCCTTTCCAGCAGTTGGCTAGTGGAGCGTGCCGCCTCCTGTGAGGTGGCTGCTTTCATGGCCACCTCCATCACTGCAGTCATTACTTCAGAGTTATTTTTTTTAGTATTTCTGCAAATGTTGCTTTTATTGTGGCATTCTCATCCAAAAAACTATTACCACCTTCTCCCTGGATGATTTTCTGAGTCTCAGCCTCGATACCATTCTCTTTGAGGCTCTAATCTCCTCCTTTGCTGCTGTCAGCTCTCTTTTCAGGTTGCTTATTTCGTTCTTCATTTCCTGCATCATTTCTTGCATCTCACTCTTGATGTCCTCCAGAAACTGGGCGAACATTCCCTTCATTTCGCACACCTTGACTCTTTCCCTGTTCCCCTGGTACTTCTTGCTGTCATGCTTGCCCCTGTTCTTATTGTTGTGCGGTGATAGGATTTGTCAGGAGGGCAGAGCGGGATGGGGGAGGGAGGGGAGATGAGGGAGGGAGGGAGGAGAGAGAGAGAGGAGAGAGGGAGAGAGAGAGATGGAGAGAGAGAGAGAGAGAGAGAGAGAGAGAGAGAGAGAGAGAGAGAGAGAGAGAGAGGAGAGAGGCAGATAGAGAGGAGAGAGAGCAGAGATGGGAGAGAGAGGCAGAGAGAGAGAGAGAGAGAGGGGAGAGATAATGTGGGTGACGATCCGACCCTTCCACTGAAGTGAGAAGAAAGTAGAAGGGGAGGGGGGGAGATGGAGAGAGAGGCTGGAGGGAGAGAAACAGGAGAGAGAGGAGGGGAGAGGATGGAGAGGAAGAGAGCGGTGAGGGAGAGATGGAGTGAAGAGACGAGGTGAGGGAGAACTGTGGGAGGGAGAGGGGGGAGGTGAGGGGTGAGAGTTTGTGGGGTGGTGTGTGTGTGTGTAAGTGTATGTGTGTGTGTGTGTGTGTGTGTGTTGTTGTGTGTGTGTGTGTGGTGTGTGTGGTGTGTACTCACCTAGTTGTACTCACCTAGTTGTGTTTGGCGGTGTTGAGCTGTGGCTCTTTGGTCCGCCTCTCAACCGTCAATCAACAGGTGTACAGATTCCTGACCTATCGGGCTCTATCATATCTACACTTGAAACTGTGTATGGAGCCAGCCTCCACCACATCACCCCCTAATGCATTCCATTTGTCCACCACTCTGACACTAAAAAGTTCTTTCTAATATCTCTGTGGCTCTTTGGGCACTCAGTTTCCACCTGTGTCCCTTGTGCGTGTTCCCCTTGTGTTAATAGACTGTCTTTATCTACCACTATCAATTCCCTTCAGAATCTTGAATGTGGTTATCATATACCCGCTACTCCCCTGTTTTCCTAGGGACGTGAGTCTCAGCTCCTTTAGCCATTCCTAGTAGCTCATATCTCCCAGTTCCGGGACGAGTCTGGTGGCTATGGACTCCAGACTGGAGCTGCATATTCTAGGATGGGTCTGACATAAATGGTAAACAGGTTCCTGAACGATTTGTTTCTCAAGTTTCTAAAGGCAATTCTTATGTTGGCAAACTAGCTTATGCCGCTGATGATATCTTTTGATGTGGGCCTCTGATGACAGGTTCACTGTGATATCAACCCCCAGAACTTTATCTCTATTTAACTCTTGTAGAATTTCACCTCCCAGATGGTGCCATGTGTTCAGCCTTCTGCTCCCTTCGCCTAATTTCATTACTTTACACTTTACTGGGTAAAGTGTAGTAGTAGTAGCCATTTTCTACACCATTCCTCCAGTTGGTCCAGGTCGTCCTGTAGTCTCTGTTTATCTTCACCTTTCTTGATTCTTCTCATAATTTTAGCATCGTCCGCAACATTGAGAGAAATGAATCGATTCCCTCCGGGATCATTTACATATATCAGAAACAAGATACGACCGAGTACAGAGCCCTGTGGGACTCCACTGGTGACTTCACGCCAATCGGAGGTCTCACCCCACCGTAGCTCTCTGCTTCCTATTGCTTAGATACTCCCTTATCCACTGGAGCACCTTACCAGCTACACCTGCTTGTCTCTCCAGCTTATGTACCAGCCTCTTATGCGGTACTGTGTCAAAGGCTTTCCGACAATCCAAGAAAATGCAGTCCGCCCAGCTCTCTCTTTCTTGCTTAATCTTTGTCACCTGATCGTAAAATCTATCAAGCCTTGTGTTGTGTGTGTGTGTGTACTCACCTAGTTGTACTCACCTAGTTGGTTTGCAGGTGTACAGGTTCCCTGAGCCTATTGGGCTCTATCATATCTACACTTGAAACTGTGTATGGAGTCAGCCTCCACCACATCACCCCCTAATGCATTCCATTTGTCAACCACTCTGACACTAAAAAAGTTCTTTCTAATATCTCTGTGGCTCATTTGGGCACTCGGTTTCCACCTGTGTCCCCTTGTGCGTGTGCCCACTGTGTTAAATAGCCTGTCTTTATCTACCCTATCAATTCCCTTGAGAATCTTGAATGTGGTGATCATGTCCCCCCTAACTCTTCTGTCTTCCAGCGAAGTGAGGTTTAATTCCCGTAGTCTCTCCTCGTAGCTCATACCTCTCAGCTCGGGTACTAGTCTGGTGGCAAACCTTTGAACCTTTTCCAGTTTAGTCTTATCCTTGACTAGATATGGACTCCATGCTGGGGCTGCATACTCCAGGATTGGGTCTGACATATGTGGTATACAATGTTCTGAATGATTCCTTACACACAGTTTCTAAATGCCGCCGTCTTATGTTGGCCAGCCTGGCATATGCCGCTGATGTTATCCTCTTGATATGTGCTTCAGGGGACAGGTCTGGCGTGATATCAACCCCAAGTCTTTTTCTCTCTCTGACTCCTGAAGAATTTTCTCTCCCAGATGATACCTTGTATCTGGCCTCCTGCTCCCTACACCTATCTGCATTACATTACATTTGGTTGGGGTTCAACTCTAACATCCATTTCTTCAAACCATTCCTTCAGCTTGTCTAGGTCTTCTTGAAGCCTCAAGCTGTCCTCTGTCTCAATACTTCTCATAATTTTAGCGTCGGCCGCAAACATTGAGAGAAATGAATCGATACCCTCCGGGAGATCATTTACGTATATCAGAAACAGGATATATCCTCAGGTCAGGTCGCTCCACGCGGTCCTCCACACTTATATGCTCCGGTGATGCCACTAGCTCCATTTTGGTTTCTTCGCACTATCGCTAGCAATATGACTATGCTATATAGCACCCTGCTAGCTACACACTGCGAGAGGCCAAATACTATGATCTAGCCTCTATACTTCTTAAATGTCCCGAGAAATTGACGAATTTCCGCGGACCTCACTAATAGTGTGTGTCCTCTACCGGCTCACGGTTACTGGAGGTGGTTGTGTGTAGGTGGTGGTTGTGTGTTGGTGGTGGTTGTGTGTAGGTGGTGGTTGTGTGTAGGTGGTGGTTGTGTGTAGGTGGTGGTTGTGTGTTGGTGGTGGTTGTGTGTTGGTGGTGGTTGTGTGTAGGTGGTGGTTGTGTGTTGGTGGTGGTTGTGTGTAGGTGGTGGTTGTGTGTAGGTGGTGGTTGTGTGTAGGTGGTGGTTGTGTGTTGGTGGTGGTTGTGTGTAGGTGGTGGTTGTGTGTAGGTGGTGGTTGTGTGTTGGTGGTGGTTGTGTGTAGGTGGTGGTTGTGTGTAGGTGGTGGTTGTGTGTTGGTGGTGGTTGTGTGTAGGTGGTGGTTGTGTGTAGGTGGTGGTTGTGTGTAGGTGGTGGTTGTGTGTAGGTGGTGGTTGTGTATTGGTGGTGTTGGTGTGTTGGTGTGTTGGTGGTGTATGTGTGTTGGTGGTGTTTGTGTGTTGGTGGTGTATGTGTGTTGGTGGTGTATGTGTGTTGGTGGTGTATGTGTGTTGGTGGTGTATGTGTGTTGGTGGTGATTGTGTGTTGGTGGTGATTGTGTGTTGGTGGTGTTTGTGTGTTGGTGGTGGTTGTGTGTTGGTGGTGTATGTGTGTTGGTGGTGTATGTGTGTTGGTGGTGATTGTGTGTTGGTGGTGATTGTGTGTTGGTGGTGTTTGTGTGTTGGTGGTGATTGTGTGTTGGTGGTGATTGTGTGTTGGTGGTGTTTGTGTGTTGGTGGTGTATGTGTGTTGGTGGTGTATGTGTGTTGGTGGTGTATGTGTGTTGGTGGTGTATGTGTGTTGGTGGTGTATGTGTGTTGGTGGTGTATGTGTGTTGGTGGTGTTTGTGTGTTGGTGGTGTTTGTGTGTTGGTGGTGATTGTGTGTAGGTGGTGTTGGTGTGTTGGTGGTGGTTGTGTGTTGGTGGTGGTTGTGTGTTGGTGGTGTTGGTGTGTTGGTGGTGGTTGTGTGTAGGTGGTGGTTGTGTGTAGGTGGTGGTTGTGTTGGTGGTGGTGTTGGTGTGTTGGTGTGACGGTGGTGTTTGTGTGCCACGTCCGACAGCCACGTTCAACAGCCACGTCCGACAGCCACGTCCGACAGCCACGTCCGACAGCCATGTCCGACAGCCACGTCCGACAGCCACGTCCGACAGCCACGTCCGACAGCCACGTCCAACAGCTACGTCCGACAGCCAGGTCCAACAGCCACGTTCAACAGCCACGTCCAACAGCCAGGTCCAACAGCCAGGTCCAACAGCCACGTCCAACAGCCACGTTCAACAGTCACGTCCAAGAGCCACGTTCGACAGCCACGTCCAACAGCCACGTCCAACAGCCACGTCCAACAGCCACGTCCTAAACAAGACAACAACTGACGAATTACTACACCAGAATTTCCTTAACAATCACAAACTAAAAAGTGGTTGATATAGTTTAGTTGGCTGGTGCCGCATGCGGGGTACAGGGGCTACACACCTGGAGGCCGCATGCGGGGTACAGGGGGCTACACACCTGGAGGCCGCATGCGGGGTACAGGGGGCTACACACCTGGAGGCCGCATGCGAGGTACAGGGGGCTACACACCTGGAGGCCGCATGCGGGGTACAGGGGGCTACACACCTGGAGGCCGCATGCGGGGTACAGGGGGCTACACACCTGGAGGCCGCATGCGGGGGACAGGGGGCTACACACCTGGAGGCCGCATGCGGGGTACAGGGGGCTACACACCTGGAGGCCGCATGCGAGGTACAGGGGGCTACACACCTGGAGGCCGCATGCGGGGTACAGGGGGCTACACACCTGGAGGCCGCATGCGGGGTACAGGGGGCTACACACCTGGAGGCCGCATGCGGGGTACAGGGGGCTACACACCTGGAGGCCGCATGCGGGGTACAGGGGGCTACACACCTGGAGGCCGCATGCGAGGTACAGGGGGCTACACACCTGGAGGCCGCATGCGGGGTACAGGGGGCTACACACCTGGAGGCCGCATGCGGGGTACAGGGGGCTACACACCTGGAGGCCGCATGCGGGGTACAGGGGGCTACACACCTGGAGGCCGCATGCGGGGTACAGGGGGCTACACACCTGGAGGCCGCATGCGGGGTACAGGGGGCTACACACCTGGAGGCCGCATGCGGGGTACAGGGGGCTACACACCTGGAGGCCGCATGGGGGGGACAGGGGGCTACACACCTGGAGGCCGCATGCGGGGTACAGGGGGCTACACACCTGGAGGCCGCATGCGGGGTACAGGGGGCTACACACCTGGAGGGCGCATGCGGGGTACAGGGGGCTACACACCTGAAGGGCGCATGCGGGGGACACGGGGCTACACACCTGGAGGCCGCATGCGGGGGACAGGGGGCTACACACCTGAAGGGCGCATGCGGGGTACTGGGGGCTACACACCTGAAGGGCGCATGCGGGGTACAGGGGGCTACACACCTGGAGGCCGCATGCGGGGGACAGGGGGCTACACACCTGGAGGGCGCATGCGGGGTACAGGGGGCTACACACCTGGAGGCCGCATGCGGGGTACAGGGGGCTACACACCTGGAGGCCGCATGCGGGGTACAGGGGGCTACACACCTGAAGGGCGCATGCGGGGTACAGGGGGCTACACACCTGGAGGCCGCATGCGGGGGACAGGGGGCTACACACCTGGAGGGCGCATGCGGGGTACAGGGGGCTACACATCTGGAGGCCGCATGCGAGGTACAGGGGGCTACACACCTGGAGGCCGCATGCGGGGGACACGGGGCTACACACCTGGAGGCCTACATACCTGGAGGCCGCATGCGGGGGACAGGGGACTACACACCTGGAGGCCGCATGCGGGGGACAGGGGGCTACACACCTGGAGGCCGCATGCGAGGGACAGGGGGCTACACACCTGGAGGCCGCATGCGGGGGACACGGGGCTACACACCTGGAGGCCGCATGCGGGGGACACGGGGCTACACACCTGGAGGCCGCATGCGGGACACGGGGCTACACACCTGGAGGGCGCATGCGGGACACGGGGCTACACACCTGGAGGCCGCATGCGGGACAGGGGGCTACACACCTGGACACCTGGAGGCCGCATGCGGGGACAGGCAGGGAGGCAGGGAGGGAGCAAGGGGCACGCAGGAAGGGAGGGAGCAAGAGACAGGCAGGGAGGGTTGCAGGGAGGGAGGGAGGGAGGGAGGGAGGGAGGGAGTCAGGCAGGCAGGAAGGCTGGCATTCAGGCAGGGAGGGAGGGAGGGAGGGAGGCAGGCAGGCAGGCAGGCAGGGAGGCAGGCAGGGAGGCAGGCAGGCAGGGAGGCAGGCAGGCAGGCAGGGAGGCAGGCAGGGAGGCAGGCAGGCAGGGAGGGAGGCAGACAGGGAGGGAGGGAGCATGAGGCAGGGAGGGAGCAAGAGGCAGGCAGGGAGGCAGGCAGGCAGGGAGGGAGGCAGGCAGGGAGGCGGGCAGGCAGGGAGAGAGGCAGGCAGGGAGGCAGGCAGGGAGGGAGCAAGAGGCAGGCAGGGAGGCAGGCAGGGAGGGAGGCAGGGAGGCAGGCAGGGAGGGAGGCAGGGAGGGAGGCAGGCAGGCACGGAGGGAGGCAGGCAGGCAGGGAGGGAGGCAGGCAGGCAGGCTGGGAGGCAGGCAGGCAGGCTGGGAGGCAGGCAGGCAGGCTGGGAGGCAGGCAGGCAGGCAGGCAGGCAGGCAGGCAGGGAGGCAGGCAGGCAGGGAGGCAGGCAGGCAGGGAGGGAGGCAGGCAGGCACGGAGGGAGGCAGGCAGGCAGGGAGGGAGGCAGGCAGGGAGGCAGGCAGGCAGGCTGGGAGGCAGGCAGGCAGGCTGGGAGGCAGGCAGGCAGGCTGGGAGGCAGGCAGGCAGGCAGGCAGGCAGGCAGGGAGGGAGGCAGGCAGGCAGGCAGGGAGGCAGGCAGGCAGGCTGGGAGGCAGGCAGGCAGGCAGGCAGGCAGGCAGGGAGGGAGGGAGGCAGGCAGGCAGGCAGGGAGGCAGGCTAGCAGGCAGGCAGGCAGGGAGGCAGAGAGGCAGGCAGGCAGGCTAGCAGGCAGGCAGGCAGGGAGGGAGCATGAGGCAGGGAGGGAGCAAGAGGCAGGGAGGGAGGGAGGGAGGGAGGCAGGGAGGGAGGGAGGGAGGCAGGCAGGGAGGCAGGCAGGGAGGCAGGCAGGCAGGGAGGGAGGTAGACAGGGAGGCAGGGAGGGAGCAAGGGGCAGGCAGGAAGGGAGGGAGCAAGAGACAGGCAGGGAGGGTTGCAGGGAGGGAGGGAGGGAGGGAGGCAGGCAGGCAGGCAGGCAGGCAGGCAGGCAGGAAGGCAGGCAGGAAGGCAGGCATTCAGGCAGGGAGGGAGGCAGGCACGGAGGGAGGCAGGCACGGAGGCAGGCAGGCAGGCAGGCAGGGAGGCAGGCAGGCAGGCAGGCAGGCAAGCAGGCAGGCAGGGAGGGAGGCAGGGAGGGAGGCAGGGAGGGAGGGAGCAAGAGGCAGGGAGGGAGGCAGGCCTTCTACAACTCCCTCCCAAGCCATACACAGGGAAAGTGCATCTTTAAAAAGGATTCAATTTCCGAGAGTAAAAAGATGCGGGTTACATCTGCCGGATCTTTTTGCCTCAACCATTTTTGTTTGCTTCTGCCTTCTCTTTTTTCAGTCTTCCTCTTCTTCTCGATATTGGTGTTTGTGTGTGGTGTTTGGTTGGTGTGTTGGGTGTGTGTGGAGGTGTTTGGTTGGTGTGTTGGGTGTGTGGAGGTGTTTGGTTGGTGTGTTGGGTGTGTGGAGGTGTTTGGTTGGTGTGTTGGGTGTGTGGAGGTGTTTGGTTGGTGTGTTGGGTGTGTGGAGGTGTTTGGTTGGTGTGTTGGGTGTGTGGAGGTGTTTGGTTGGTGTGTTGGGTGTGTGTGGAGGTGTTTGGTTGGTGTGTTGGGTGTGTGGAGGTGTTTGGTTGGTGTGTTGGGTGTGTGGAGGTGTTTGGTTGGTGTGTTGGGTGTGTGGAGGTGTTTGGTTGGTGTGTTGGGTGTGTGGAGGTGTTTGGTTGGTGTGTTGGGTGTGTGGAGGTGTTTGGTTGGTGTGTTGGGTGTGTGGAGGTGTTTGGTTGGTGTGTTGGGTGTGTGGAGGTGTTTGGTTGGTGTGTTGGGTGTGTGGAGGTGTTTGGTTGGTGTGTTGGGTGTGTGGAGGTGTTTGGTTGGTGTGTTGGGTGTGTGGAGGTGTTTGGTTGGTGTGTTGGGTGTGTGGAGGTGTTTGGTTGGTGTGTGGAGGTGTTTGGTTGGTGTGTTGGGTGTGTGGAGGTGTTTGGTTGGTGTGTTTGTTCCCCAACAAACACACCAACCAAATGTTTGTTAACATTCCCCATGTTAACTCCCCCGTACAGGGTTCGAGTACTTCCTTACGTCCCTTCGGCTCATTTGTGCTCCAGCTTCCTCCTGTGTCCTCTTGCACTACTTTCTCTCAGTCTGAAGAGCCTCTCCTTGTCCACCAGATCTATTTCCCCCTCAGTATCTCGAATGTTGTGATCATATCCCATCTGTTCCTTCTATCCTTTATGGTTGTGAAATTTAGTTACATTAGCCCGTGCTCATAGATTAGATCTGTTAGCTCTGGCACCAATCTTGTTGCAAGCCTCTATTTTTTTAATTTTGGCTTTGTTTCAAAAGGTGCGGATTCCATACCGGTGCTGCGTATTCCTGCATTGGTCGAACAAATATTGTTAATATTGGTCTGAAGGAGTCCTGATTCAGGTTCTTAAACGGAGTTCAGATAATTGCCAGCCTTCCATGCGACCCCATTTTTCTGTAATTTTTTTTCTTGGCTTTTGCTGTCCTTTCTTTAGCTGCCTGCGTCGCCTACTGTACCCGGGGCTTACTTGATGTTGTTCATGCACCTCCTCCTTGAGTGGTGTCAACTGTCCATTTACATAAACACATTTTCCACCAATGAATTCATTTAATTTACTGTCTCCCCTTCCATTTTGCTTTCCCATTGGACCTGCCACAGCAAGTCCCTCAGTGGTGTTGTAGTCCCCACGTATTCAAACATGACAATTCAGTGGTCACAAGCTCCTAGAGGCATCTCATACTTTATTTTTTTCCAACGTTGCTTTATTTTATTTTACGTTATTTTCGACATACAAGAGACAACACCAAGTCTAGTGTTGGTGGTAGATGGTCTCCTCGCCACAGCAGCTCTCGCATGGTCCCTTACCATACTAATTCTTACCATGCCTTATTTGGTCCTGCTACGTGGACTACATACTTTGATCTCCATCATCTGGATTCTACTCCTCCTGACGATTTCTCCCTCCATAGGCACCGTGTTGATTCGGTAGATGTCCTGTTACTTTTAACCCCACCCGTCTTGGTGCGCATGTCGTTGCTGCTCCTTCTCAAGAAGCATTGTCCGCATTGTCCTGCATTGGAGAGACCCCTGTTCGGGTCTCCAAGAACTCTCGGTTGAATGCCAGTGTTGGCACTATTCTTCTCTTGCACCATGTTGCAACCAGTGTTAGGGACCTCAAAGACTGCCACGAGGGTATTAAACATATCCTCAAAGCCCAAGGCCATCCTGTCCTCCAGGTGGACACGTTTACTCGGCCCCCTCATGGTCGTCGCCGTCAGCCTCTTCGGGTTGTGAAACTTACCTTTGATAGTAGGACCCTTCCGCCCTCTGTCATTCTTGCTGGTGCCAGGTGCTCCGTTCAGGAGTACATTCCCTCTCCTCGGCTCTGTAATAAGTGCTGGAGGTTCGAGCATAGTGCCCTCAGATACTCCAGTACTGTGTCTCTATGTACTCATGTATGGGGGCAAGGGTCACTCTAAGTCGGAGTGCTGCAAACCTTCGACCCAGGCTTGCTGCCTCAATTGCGATGAGGCCCACCCTACCTTCTCCCGCGCATGTATACATTACAAACTTGATGAAGCTGTCTGCTACTTGAAACACGGGGATCGTTTGTCTTTTCCTGAGGCCAGGCGACAATTTCGCCGTCTCACCCCTTTCGCTGTCGAAACTATATTCGTGTGTTGTGTTCTTCCTTTCCTCGTCCTTCCTACTTTCCTCCGTCTCACAACCGTCTCCAGGCCCTAGACCCAGACACGCCCACCGCCTCCTCACCTGTTCCTTTACGTTATGTCCCGAAGGGTCTTCTCCTGGTTCTCCGTTTGGAGTTTCCCTTCTTCCTACCCAATCTGCCATGTCTCCTGTGTCTTCTTTCTCATCTCCCTCCGATCCTCCTTCCCATCCTTCCCCCCTGTCTCTTAGTTCTCCACGCCGCCTGTCTGTACAGGCTGTAGTCCATCATCTACATCGAATGATGTAGATGATGTAGATGATCCATCATCTACAGGATCTGAATACGAATCAGATCCTGGCGATATTTTATCGTGAAGGCTTGATTCCTTGCTGCTGGGTCGTGCACTTTAACATTAGTATATTTTGGTAGCAGTCTTTCCTGTAGACATATATTATTAAATATGACCGAAAAAGTAAGATTAATAATTCTAACACGAATTTTCTCAATCTTTCGTACATTACGCTTCACTGTTGGAGGTAAATCAAAAATCACTTCTCCAAAATTCATTTTTATTTCTAGTCTGACGCGACACGGGCGCGTTTCGTAAAACGCGATTCTGATTCGTGATCAGATATACAAGGCAGAGAATGAAATCAAAGACAACAAAACGCAACTACTTCATGCTACAAACGAGTGGAGAAATAGCAACATCGACGATAGTATCCGTACCCG